AGTGTGATTAATGCTGGCTGAACTTTGAAGTGAAGTGTCTCTTTTTTTTGGCCACCCCTGTATAATATATATATATATATATATATATATATATATATATATATATATATATATATATATATATATATATATATATATATATATATATATATATATATATATATATATATATATATATATATATATATATATATATATATATATATATATATATATATATATATATATATATCCCTACTATATATAAAACGCTATGTCTGTCTGTACGTGTGTGTGTGTGTGCGTGTGTCACGAAATTCATAGCACGCGTCGCAGCAGTCGTTAGGAGCTGATTTTTTGATATGATATAGGGGGTGGGCGGAACATATTTGGTGGGGGTCACAAAGTGATAACGACTGATAAGAGCAGATAAGAGGCGCTGAAACACAAATTTCACGAAATTCATAGTGCGCTTCGCAGCAGTCGTCAGGAGCTGATTTTGGGACATGATATAGGGGGTGGGACGGGAACATATTTGGTGGGGGTCACAAAGTGATAACGACTGATAAGAGCAGATAAGAGGCGCTGAAACACAAATTTCACGAAATTCATAGTGCGCTTCGCAGCAGTCGTCAGGAGCTGATTTTGGGACATGATATAGGGGTGGGACGGGAACATATTTGGTGGGGGTCACAAAGTGATAACGACTGATAAGAGCAGATAAGAGGCGCTGAAAACAAATTTCACGAAATATATAGTGCGCTTCGCAGCAGTCGTCAGGAACTGATTTTGGGACATGATATGGGGGTGGGACGGTAACATATTTTGTGGTTTTCAAAAAGTGATAACGACAGATGAGGACTAATAGTAATGATATGCGTACGAACGTAGAGATTACTCGAAACCAGATTGCAGATATGCATTTCATTTCAATATCATTTCATTAGCGTTATAATTGTAAACTCAAACACCTTTCGACCGCTACACCTTCTAGAGTTCTTGAGGATGAATGGGATGCTCGAATAAATATGATAATGAATACTGGGCATTCCGTTTTTCAAAAATTATTCGACCGCTAAATTACCTCGATACTCGATGCATGGTGGTTGTTTACATACATCACTTTAGCTGTGCACTTCACTGCGCTTATCAAACAGTGAGATACAGCCAAGATGGGCAACGGACAGTAATGCATTTAACGAAGCAGCTATAGTTAAGCGGTGAAACCCAAAGCTTCACCGATTGTCAGTTTTATCAAAGGCTTCCGTGTCATGCGCGCGGTAGCGGGCGGAGCTAAACTGGTATATATATATATATATATATATATATATATATATATATATATATATATATATATATATATATATATATATATATATATATATATATATATATATATATATATATATATATATATATATATATATATATATATATATATATATATTATATATATATATATATATATATAGACTTGACTTGACTCTGCGCAGGCAGGACGAGCATGCGGTCAGCGTTATCCAACGCGCTGTCGAGAGGACGATGCTAGGAGTAACCCTATACACGCAAGTGCAGAGGGGAATCCGGAGTGCCGAACTACGCCAACGATCGAAGATCAGGGACGCTGCCGTTTTCGCCAAGGAATCGAAGATAAGGTGGGCCGGACACGTCATGCGATTTTGCGATGACCGTTGGACCAGAGCGGTTACCGACTGGATCCCTCGGGACGTCAAACGAACACCTGGACGACCGCCGGCCCGATGGTCAGACTTCTTCACGAAAGCTCTGAACGAAAGGAATGATGGACTTCGTGTCCCTCGAGCAAGGAGGATCCACTGGACCACCTCTAGCACGCGACAGGGACGAATGGAGACGTTGCTGGCGCCCGCTCGAGCAAATCGACGATCAACGGGACGACAGGTGATCCAGATGGAGGGCCTTTAATATAAGTGCTCGAACAACCCTCGTAGCGGGCCACTGAAGAAAAATTTGTGGACCATTACAACTGATATGGCCGAGGGTTGCAAGAAGAGAGAGTTTGGAGGAGTTTGCCATTAGCTCTAGGATTGGAAGTCCTGTTAGTATTATAAAGCGAAGGACCATCTTCAAATCAATATTTTGCTGACCGAGCCGTAGCTGCTGCCTCAAGTTATTACGACGGGATCGGACCATCGTCTCCTCCGCGCAAAGTTCCACTTTTCGATGCGTGTTGAGAGAGCCTCAAAGTTCAGGAAGCGAAGCCCCAGGACAGTCATCAACTGGGATCACTTCACTTCTCTTGTCAACTATGGGAGGATTCCGTTATCGAGAACATCGACGAGGAATAGGTCTTGAACATCCTCCCGATAGTGGCAGCATAACGGAGAGTTCGAAAGTCACGAAGACTCCGTCTCGGAAAACTTAAGCTGAAACGCCAACGTAGAGCCGCACGAGTTGGAAGTAGGAAGCAGTATTCGCTGCAGCAGCAGAGGCTTAGATAAAACAAAAGATGATCGGCTTATAACGCATTCAAATAGAACAAAAGAAAGTTTTATTGCATTCGAAGGGCAATGGGCGAGAAAGTCATACACAATTCCAACTGCCGATCTCTTCTTGGGCCATGGCCTATCTGCCTAACTTATCAAGTGCAAAGGGGGTTACGTCTTTCTTCAGTTCTCTCCTCGAAGTCGACATGCCTCAGGTCAGGAAGGAAATCGTGACTCTCCAGGAATGCGGCGCAGTCATCAGTTCAAACTCATACTGGCTCGAACTCTTTCACGCCACTACATGCCAGAAATGCATTGGTATCCCAATGTTGGAACAGCAGGATGGTGTTTCTTGCTGTCAATAAGAGAGATTCGAAGCATTGGCACTATCGCCAGTCTCTCTTGTCTACATCCTATCATTATTATGTATATATATATATAAAGATGCAGGATATATATATATATATATATATATTTCAATCGAGCCACTCTCAGTAGGATTGTTATTATTTCGGATAAAGGACAGCCATGCGAGCAAGTTGGGTTCTCCAAGAGGATTCAGGACTTCTGATCATATCCACACGGCTTCGAGACTCACTGGAGCTTCACGAGAGTACAAGTAGTTGAAGAAGGTCTTCGACTCTGTGAAGACAGAAGCGGTCATCGAAGCCTTGGGCAACCAGGGCGTCCCTTATTCAGTACATAAGGATTTTTTCATGGGCTCTACAGCAATTTAACGACCATAATCTCACCATTCTACGAGTAGGCCACCATTGATGTGAAGAGAGGGGTTTGACAGGGCTACACAATTCCGCGCAAAGATTCAGCGGCCGCTCTTCGAATGTCGTGGGGCGTCAATTAAATGGGAAACATGAGAGCGAAGTCGAGGGGGCAGGCTACCCACCATATTTCTTACCGCATTTCTTACAGTGGTATAATCGTTGAGCAGCAAGCGAATGCTGACCGATTTCGAGAGTATGGGACGGTCCAGCAGCTAAACCCAACGAAAGCAATGTTCACGAGAACTGGACTGGACTGGTTGCGGATTGAATCCTCAGAAGTTCCAGCTATATATTCCTTGATCGGGCCACCAACACGTTGAATGACTTGGCTCAGCACCTAGGAGGAGGTCATCATCGTGAAAGTATCGAGGGTTCGACAGGGCGACACCATCTCGCCCAAACTCTTCAGCGCCGCTCTCGAGAACGTCATGCGTCAACTGGAATGGGAAGACATGGGAGTGAAGGTCGACGGCCGGCAACTACACCACCTTCGTTTTGCTGACGACATCGTTCTTATAAGTGGTAAACATTGAGCAAGCAGAGCGAATGCTGACCGATTTCGAGAGTATGGGACGGTCCAGCAGCTAAACCCAATGAAAGCAATGTTCACGAGAACTGGACTGGACTGGTTGCGGATTGAATTTTCAGAAGTTTCAGCTATATATTCCTTGATCGGGCCACCAACACGTTGAATGACTTGGCTCAGCACCTAGGAGGAGGAAACGAGCAGCGTGAAAGTATATAGAGGGAGTAGTGGAAAAATGAGGACATCCGGACAACTTTTCGATTCTGCTGTCCTTCCTGCCCTAACCTACGCCTCAGAGACTTGGACTCTGCGCAGGCAGGACGAGCATGCGGTCAGCGTTATCCAACGCGCTGTCGAGAGGACGATGCTAGGAGTAACCCTATACACGCAAGTGCAGAGGGGAATCCGGAGTTCTAACTACGCCAACGATCGAAGATCAGGGACGCTGCCGTTTTCGCCAAGGAATCGAAGATAAGGTGGGCCGGACACGTCATGCGATTTTGCGATGACCGTTGGACCAGAGCGGTTACCGACTGGATCCCTCGGGACGTCAAACGAACACCTGGACGACCGCCGGCCCGATGGTCAGACTTCTTCACGAAAGCTCTGAACGAAATTAGTGACCGCCTGTCTCTTGAGCAAAGAGGATATAGCTGGCCACTTCTTCTCGCGACTGGGACAAAATAAGACATAGGTGGCGCCCGCTCTAACGTCTATAACCGTAACAGATCTAAACTGCTAATCCCTTCAAGAATTTTTAAGAAGGGACTGCTTATTGAATTCAAATTACTTATGCATATTCCTGATTTTACCCAACATTATTCGTGACATAACATTAGTCGATTGTTGTGCTTTCGGACTCCGCATCCACTGGTGACACAGCTGAAATGCAGCTTTTTCAGATGATATGTGTCTATGCATCAAAATGAAGGAACTTCCACTATGTCAACATCAGAGGCCAAAAGTAGCGTATAAATGTGAGATGAAGGAGACATATTCGTCATCAACTTTCAGCGCTCATGTCAGAACTAGAAACCTTCAAAAATTGTAGAATGAGATTTTTTATACTCACTCTACTTCTGGTTGGGTGTGTGAACGCAGACTTGCTCAAGCACACTACGGAGCAAAAACAGGAGCTTCTTAGCAAACCAAAGGTAGGTAAATTTATTATATGCTAGTTCAAAACTCATTAGCGGTGATGTTGTACTTTAGTCGTTCAAAAGAGAAACCGTTAATGAAGAGCAACCCATGGAAGACTCGATCGAAGAGATCAACATGAGGAGCGGGATTGCAGATGCGCTGTACCAGGGAGACATTGTTCTCACAAAGTTTGTTCGCTTTTCTTTCATAATTTGATTTTGTTTCTATTCGCATCATTTTAAGGGAGCAGCAGGAACAGATCGCTGCTGATATTGGCGGAGCCCGCTCTAGAAGGCAAGCTTTTGATGATCAAGGTTGGCCTGCAAAAAGATGGACAGAAGGAGTTCCTTACATGTTCGACATATATAGTTAGTTGCTCTCAGACTTCCTGATTAAGGTTAAAACAACAAATTTTTTCTTATTATTTTCAGGTCCAATAACAGAAGAAGCCAAAAATGCTTTCAAGAAGGCAGTGAAATTATGGATGGACGATACATGCATTAACTTCACAGAATACGAAATGCCGAGGAAAATGGGCATGAAAACCTCCTTACGTGAGGCTCTCTTTGTGATCCTCATTTTCGATCAATTTTGCCATCCATCGTAAATTCAAATACCTGCGGTTGCCTTCGACTGCTATCATGGAATTAGTAATAATTTTGATTCCTGGGCTTTTATCTATCGTCTTGTGCTACCATCACTGATGTGTGAGAGCGATCGTTTTGTTACCAGTCACATTGAAGTTTTTAACTAATTTGAACTCATGTGCGCAAGAAAAACCCCATTCCTTGTAAAATTCTCTAATGTGCTATTTTTTCAGCCAAGTCCGGCTATCTTGTTGTGTACGAAGGAAGCGGATGTGAATCGAATGTTGGTAAAGTGAAAGACTCAGGCCCACAGCTCCTGTCACTCGGTGAAGGTTGTGGAACGGTAGGTGCTTAAAGAAGTTCCTGCATTCAGACCGCTTGAATACGGCCAGAAAGGCAATTCTCAAAAAGAAGCAGTGAAAAAAGCGGGTTGATCGATGGTTTTGTTTTGATGCAAATGCAGTTTCTCGGTTTGCAGATCGGACATGCGGCACACGAAATTGGACATGCCCTTGGGTTCTTCCACACACAATCAAGATATGATCGTAACCAATTTATTACAGTTCATGAAAACCTCATCAAGGTAGGGTCAATAGTGGTAATGAAGCTATAAAGACATCCGTGTTCAAATAGTTGTATACATCATAGTTGATTAAGAAGTGGCTGGCATGACCAGGTCGAAGCGCTGGCGAAGAAATTCAATGATAACTATAATCTGACATATGACTACGGTAGCGTGATGCACTATGGAAGCAGAAGGTAGGATCCTCTTTAATGGATGTGTTGTAGCGGAGAGAAGGAACGCATATCTAGCGTATCAATTGACGCAAGGCCTGCTATGGTACCTAAGGATGCTAATTACACGGAAACTCTGGGATCTGATATCATTTCGTTTTACGATCTACTCATGATGAACGTTTTTTACAAATGCACAGGTGGGCGTCATAGTAATAGTAGGAAAAGATTTGCGGGAAGACAGTATAATATTTCAGACACTTGTGAAAATATACCCAAATCGGATGAACAGTGCCAGAATGGTGGATTTCCTCATCCTCGTAATTGCTCCGAGTGCATTTGCCCTAGCGGATACGGCGGACAGTTTTGCGAGAAAAGGGTAACAGTCCCCTTGACAACTATAGTTCGCAAAAATTTTGATGAGATTATTTCAGCCAGAAGGCTGCGGTAGAGAAGTAAAAGCAGAAGAAGACTGGCAAGTGCTTGAAGACGACCTAAACGGAAGCGATGCTGGCAATGAGCGAGACGGTTTCAAGAGATGCAACTATTGGATTGAAGTACGTGACTATCACGAGCCACCGAATTTCAAGAATTTATCTTAAGGCCCCAGCCGATAGAAAGGTGGAAGTGAAGCTCGTGGAGCTTCCTGAAAGGCGTCTTGTGGACGGGTGCAAATATGCGGGTGTTGAAATAAAAGCACGCTCGGATTCGCGTCTCACCGGTTACAGGTATTATAAAAAGTTATGACAAAATAAAGTAGCAGAAAGTGCACACAAGCATGGCTTTAACTTTGTCATTCTTTAGGTTCTGCTCGGAAAAGGACGTCGGCATTCAACTAACATCGAGCTCAAACATACTCCCTGTAATAACATATAATGGCAGAAGCCTCATCATGCATACAAAGCTTGAGTACCGCTATATTTGAAGGACAACTAAAATTTTCCGCAAATAAAAACTTGAGCGTTTTTTGGAACATCCTGGTAACGATTCATAATATTCTGGAGAAGGATTTCGTTCTGCGCTATCATGTTGGAAACAGTTTGCGCCGTCATGGATTGAACGATACGTTGCTCCTTCAGAGATGTCTGGCTGCCCAGTAGTGAAGATATATTGATATACATCTCCGAAAGATAACAGCGAGTACTGCTGCGCGCCTGTATTGTATTATTTGTGGAACTCGATACTGAACGATATAACGAGCTATCTCACTCAGAAAACTCAGAAAGCTCAGCTCAGAAAACTTATGTTCGTTACCTTCTGGCATTAACTCTAGAAAGCTCATGGAATAAGTTTAGGGAGTAAAGCAGAAAGTTTGAGAAAAATAAACTGAAGAAGCAAGTGAAGCCACCCTCCGTTCCCGCTTAGAATAAGGAAGGGGCGAGCCGGAACAGTTGTGCGAACTTGCTTGAAGAACCGCTATTACTGAAGTCCTGCACCTGATTCCCATTGTTAGGAACAAACATGTAATTGCTTCCAAACATTACAGTTTCTAACAAGGGAAGGATACCAGGTCGAAGTGGCCATTTGTAACGAGACATACACCACTAGATGTGTTTTTGGACGCTGATCTCGAATCTGCTCTCCAAATCTGCGAAACGATTCTCTGAACGTAGTTATGAAGCGAGATAGTGCAGTGGCAGCGGCCCGGCCGACGAACAAGAGGTCGTGAGATCGACTTCTTGGCGAGTTCTCACTTTTGCTTTTCTTGAAACATTGTTTAAGGAACTCTTATCCATGCTAAGTTATCAGCATTTGCCAGAATTCCATCGCGGGCGATAGCATCAAATTCAACGGCTTAAGGGAGCGAGTTCAAGTATCCCCCGATTGCCTATAGCACAAGCAAACAGAGCTGGCGAAGAGCTCCGAGCACTATGTGCAAAACACCGTTTTGAGAATGAAAGAACGCCCTGAACGACCTTCCTTGTAAGTGAAGCGACCTTTTGATTTTTTTGCAAAGAAAAGAACACTAACAAAACTTGTTTTTGTTTGTTAACTGCTGTTTTTGGCCGCAGTTCGCCTTGCGAATGTTTCACAAGAATGCTGGGTTGTGAACAAAACTTTCGCCCCAGGCGGGACTAGAACATCGCTTTCCGGGGCAGGTGCGTAACTGGTAGCGCACTTGCCCGGAAAGCGAGAGGTGCGGGTTCTAGTCCCGCCTGGGGCGAAAGTTTTGTTCACAACCCAGCATTCTTGTGAAATCGAAACTCTTCTGAGA